TCTCTGCGTAATATGTTCCTTAGGCTTCCTCTTTTCCTTTTGCCTTAAGGGTTCCATGTGAGGGCTTGTCTCGTGACGCAGTTAGGTGCTTTTCGTAGTGTGTCCTATCCACTTCCACCGCTTCTGCCTGATTTCCTCCTCCACTGGAATCTGGTTTGTTCTCTCCCACAGTAGCCGGTTGTTGCTGATGGTGTCTGGTCAACGAATAAGAAGTATTTTGTGTAGACAGTTGTTAATAAACACTTGTATCTTCTGGATGATGGCTTTCGTAGTTCTCCATGTTTCCGCTCCATACAATAGAACTGTCTTCACATTTGTATTGAAAATCCTGATTTTGGTTTTGGTTGAAAGTTGTTTGGAGTTGCAGATATTTTTCAACTGTAGAAATGCAGCCCTCGCTTTGCCAATCCGCGCCCTCACATCTGCATCCGATCCACCTTTCTCGTCGATGATGCTGCCCAGATATGTAAAAGTGTTGATGTCCTCCAAGGCATCGCCATGAAGAGTGATTTGGTTGGTGCATGTTGTGTTGCATGGGAGAATTTTGCTTTTTCCTTTATGTATGTTGAGACCTACTGCTGCAGAGGCTGCTGCTACACTGGTCGTCTTCGCTTGCATTTGTTGTTGCGTGTGCGATAGAAGAGACAGGTCATCTGCGAAGTCCAGATCGTCCAGCTGCGTCCTAACTGTCCAGTTGATACCGTGCTTCCCTCCAGCTGTCGACGTCTTCATAATCCAGTCGATGACCAGGAGAAAGAGAAAGGGTGAGAGTAATCAACCTTGCCTGACACCGGTCTTCACCTCGAAAGAGTCTGTTGGCTGTCCTTCGTGTACGATTTTGCTAAACAAATATTACCACTTCGTTTTTTCCACCAACTATTGTTCAATTATTCAAATCAACAGCAACCGATAACTGATATTCTATCGCTCATGTATAGATCAGTAACGTTCGGCAGATAATATTTAGTTGCTTCATAACACAAAGTGTTTCCAATTCTAGAAGAGTGCTTCAATTCACAAAGAATTCATGAAAAGACCACCTGTTTACATTTATATATGGAGAGAATGCACCAGTGACAATCTTCATCATTTCGTTTGATAGAACAAAATGAATTGATCAAATCGCGTCTGACACACAATTGATATTGACCAACATCTTAACAGTTCAATTTATTCGAAACAGGCTGACTAATTCAGTTTGTTGTATAAACTGTGAACAAAATCATCTTCACAGTTGTGGATTATACAGTCAATCAATTACTGACAATTAACAAACATTGTAAAAAGTTTGAAAAGCTTCAAACTATGTTGAATAACATCACTTACACTTTCCAAAGAAATGTGTATTGGAATTGCACTAATGCTAATTGTAAATCTCCTTCAGCTGAAATTTGCGCAATATTATTAACATTATTTCAATTGTATTGTAGTGAACGAGAGAGAACACAGGTGTGAAGGCAACCGAATTGTATTTAACGAAAAAAAAATTACAGAGTTACTCAGTGTGAAATCGGAAAAAACCATATCGTAAATCGTTAGTTAATTTGCAAAATATCAGTTCATCATCATATCGAACTGGACTGTCTGTTCCTGTTGCAAACAACATCAATCCATTGTCACTCACTATTCATGCGTTTCATACAAATTCCATTGTGTTCCCCCCACTCTTCCTTTCTTGATCTTCTCCCATCTTCTGCTGCCAAACATTACGTTGACACTCACGTTATATACTACTTATAAGTAGCTCACACCACAGTATGACCAATGCTCTCTCAAACAAACAAACCACTGGTATCGATATGTTCAGTGTCATGCTGCATGCAACATGACAACCTTTTTTTGTTTAAATCATCGTCTTCTGAGCGCAACATCCATCAAATTAGTCGATTCTGTTTGATCCCGGCTAATGTATGTTTAAGCGTCTGAGCAGTGTGACACGTTCACTTATCTTCACTAAACCAATACATTTTCTCGGCGTAAATGGTATCCAATGCGATTTTTTGTGAATTATTTCTGTACACATTTGAAATCATCAATCAATCATTGTTAGACCACCATTAGAAACCTGGAATCACTGAAAGACGGCCGTTTCGTCCTGGTATGGGACTCATCAGCAGTGCGCATCCACGACTTCTGCACCTCGCAAGATCCGAACCCGGGACCTATGGCATTGTAGGCGAACGCCTTACCATCGGACCACTGGGCCGGCATCCAACGGTGTTAATGTCTAACTCTGATTGATCGTGGAAGCGCACTGCTGACGGGTCCCATACTAGGACTCCGTCCAGTGCTTCCAGGTTTCTAATGGTGGTCTAACGATGATTGATTGATGATTTCAAATGTGTAAACAATCGCAAACCTCCAAAACTGTGCCCCAAAATATCGTAACAGTGCTCACTAGTGACTAGCTTCGTGAGGAAATTCTCGGAGTTCTAGTTGAGAAGACGTGACCAGTGGAGTTCAACCCTGTCGGGTGTAGGCAGTAACTACCAAAGACAAATGGGTGAGGTCGCGCTAAATCCATAGATCAATCAGAGTTAGACATTAACACCGTTGGATGCCGGCCCAGTGGTCCTATGGTAAGGCGTTCGCCTACAATGCCAAAGGTCCCGGGTTCGAATCCTGCGAGGAGCAGGAGTCGTGGACGCGCACTGTTGATGAGTCCCATACCAGGACGAAACGGCCGTCCAGTGCTTCCAGGTTTCTATAATGGTAGTCTAACATTGATCGATTGATGGTTTCAAAAAAAATATATATGTATATATAGCATATTGTCTTAAATGTCAAGAAATTGTCTATTATGTTACGGTTCACTTACAAATATTAAATACTATCGATAGTACAATCAACTTACCAATATACATAAGAATTATGTACATAAAAGTAATAAATAGTATTTTCATGATCATTCTGTTTGATTATGTTTTAAATGTGAACAATATGAGCTGGTTTTTATATAGTCTCATAATAGGCGTGAGAAAATCTCACTATTGCACTTAATAATAATAATAATGGTAGCTGGAATCACCTCGTAAGGACAAATGTACTTCATTTCTCACATGTATTCTAATAATTATTCACATCTACTTCAGTTGTTCGTTGTTGCTTTTTCTCTCAAACTCAATATTTTGTGAAAAAAAACTCATAAAACTTTGTTCATGTTCATGAGATACTACATGTATGATACAACAAAGAAGCTCTCTGAAGACTATCGTAAACCAGAACAACCAGTTGAAAGTCGAGGATGGCAAAGCAATCAGCAAAAACAACGAAACAGTTAGGTAGATCACTTTGAAGAACTCTTCAATCGACCAGACCCCCATGAATCAGCATCAACAGACCTGCCAATCGAGATGTTGACCCACCAAAAATTGAAGAGATCAGCATCGCCACCGCTAAAATCAAGAGCCGTAAAGCAGCAGGATAAGACAACATTTCAGCTGAAGCAATGAAATCAGACATAGCAGTAACTGAAAAAATACTCCACCACATCCTCTTCAGCAAGATTTGAAATGAAGAACAAGTACCATCAGACTGGAAAAAAAGGATACCTTATCAAAATACCAAAGAGAAGCGATCTAAGTAAGTATGACAATTACAAAAGCATCACTCTTCTTTCAACACCAGGCAAAGTCTACAACAAAGTGTTATACAGTTTGTTACACAGTATGAAGGACTCCATAGACATTCAACTTCAAGATCACCAGGCTGGATCCGTTAAGGATCAATCGTGTCACAGTTCGACCATGAAGAAGAGAATGCCTCACATACACAAAAGAAGTTGCACTGATGCTGTCTAAAAAAGCACCTATAGGATGGGATGAATCTCATGGACCCAGAAACATTAAAACATCCTTCAAAACAAAGAAAGAGAGCACTACAATGAACGTCATTGAATGCTGTGCGTCTACCAACGATTACAGTGACGACGTTAAAGATCGATTCTACGAAAGGCTGCAGTCAATCGTCGATAGATGCTTACCAAAGGATTTGACCATTCTGATGGGAGACATAAATGCCAAGTTTGGCATGGACAACACTGGATACGAAGACATCATGGGACGACATGGACTGGGAGAAAAGAACGAAAACGGTGAGAGATTTGCAAACCTATGTGCCTTCAACAAACTGGTCATCGGCGGCACAATATTCCCACACAAACGCATACACAAAGCTACATGGATTTCACCGGATCACACTACTTAGAACCAAATCGACCATATATGTATCAATAAAAAGTTCAGGACGGCCATGGAGGAGGTGAGAACCAAACAAGGAGCTGATATAGCCACAGATTATCAAGTGCTGGTCGCCAAAATGAAAATGAAAATCAAGAAGCACAGGACAACGAGACAGACAACATCACTAAAGTTTTTTAAGGTTTTTCTTCAGGATACGGAATTCATATGATGGATTATTCTGCGAGATTGTTTATAAAGGACAGCCAACAGACTCGTTCTTAGTAAATACTAGTGTCAGGCAAGGTTGCTGCTTATTATCACCCTCTCCTACTGGTCAACTGGATTGTGAAGACGTCAACATCTGAAGAGAAGCACGAGATACAGTGGACAACCTTTGGTCTTGTGCTCGAACGCCTAACCTCTGGACCACTGGGCCTTGTAAAAAAATAACAGGAAACCAACAAAAATGAGTTTTGGAGAAGTCCACTTCACTATTGAATGCATCAGTCAGTGGTTTGTACAAAATTTAGGAGATATATAAAATGAAAAATGATGTGTTTTTACAAAAAATTCAAATAATACTAATAACACACCATGGGACCAGGAGTGTACATATGTGTGTATAACCAATCAATAAAGGTAAAAGTATGAGAATGATAATGAAAACGATGAAATGTATATATCCATATAAATATATAAATATATATATATCGGCGGGAGGGGTGCGGGAACACTTGTAAAAATGCAGGTATCATCAAAATTATACAATTTACAATAAAGTTAATTGTTTGGTTAGTGAAAAAGACTATTGACATGAATTTATTCCAATTTATTAGGCCATATTGTATATCGTCCTTGTTTTAATTGTTGTACAGTGACACGACATATTCCATGATCTGAACATCTACGTATAGCTAAATCTTGAACACCGATAGATGCTATTGTACCAGTACATCGATGACTAGAACCATCACGACCTTCTAAGATAATGGATGCGCCAATCTGATAACTTTATGTTGCAAAGTAGAAAGCATAAAAAGAAAAGCAATACAAATAGTATGTACTACTACTACTACTATTTAAGTAGTATATATAGCAATGATAAAAGTTAGTCAATCGATCTGTTAGGATATTCATCTAATATATATAATATTCATCTAATTATTTTTCCAAGTCTAATTCTATTGGTCGATTCCTGCTGGTCAATATTATGGTGATCCTAACTGTCAATGTCAAAGACTTCAATGTTGTTTCTTATTCGACCTAACTGTATAAATACGCATTATCTGTAATGTTTTATGACCCGGACTCAGATACCTAGTCCGGGATTTTTGACTTCCTCTGGACTCGGACTTCGTACTTCCTGGATTCTTGTAGAATACATTTTCTACTTCACATCAAGACTTTTTATTCTAATCAATGGGGTGGGGGTTCGAGACACTCGGATTAGAGTTGCTTGTCGTGTCGCTGGATCCTCGCTCTCGTTTCCCGACTAAGGTAAACTCGTAATAATAATTCAAGCATATCAAAATGACGTGTTTACGTGCATGTGCAACACAATCGATCAACGCAGTCAGTCAGTCAGTTAATTGTAAGCACTAACAACAAACATATTTCCGTTTGTGACAATAATCAATGAACGTTTCAGTGAATAATTTTCCCCATGGAGAAAAGTTAGAAAGTAAGCAAACATCAATTTCACAAGTTAACACATCTCTTATTCTGCTGCTGCCTTATCGAATTCAATTAGCAATGATTAACATTTGAAAATAACATATCTATTTATTTAAACACATAAACGTCCGTGGAAAATTAGCATTTAAATATGTACGCTACACATAAATCATTTAATTAGCATATGGGCTAGGTGTCCAAGTCGAACCAGGCGATTTTCTTGAGCCTTTGGCCGCCCGACCCCGCGCACAGGTCTAATATCCACAAGGTAGTGAGTGAAGCAACACTATTAGTTGTAGTCCCATGGAAGCTCAACTGACCGACAACAGATTCATTCATACATCATTTTTGTTTCTTCACAAACCTGGAGCTCATGTACATTGCTGATGTTGGGAATGATCGTTTTCCAACACCCCTTAGGTTGATTCTCTCCATTGACAAACGACGGTCTAAGCGCTGGATATTCGACTTTACTTTGAAATAAGTCGAAAATTCTCAAATCATAACAGTCTCCTGATAATTCTAATTTGAATCAAGCAATCAGAATTCGATGTAAAATTCCTTGATACACACAGTGATTAAATAGTAATCACTGTAACTGTTGTTTGCCTGAAAATTAAACATGTATTAACTTGTATCCTAACAGTGTTATTTTGATTAACAGTAATCACTTCAGTGAAAAAAATAACAAATTTAATGATGTCAATCTGATTATTATTTCTACTTTGACAAAAGCCTTTAGTGGGACATAGATGGAATTAAAGCATGACTCTACGTTGCTGCGCGCTGGTTGGCTAATTTCCTAATCCAATCAGCGCCTGATCGATTCTTGGAGAACAGGATAGAAAATTCTCGTGTTGTTGTTAGCTGCACGCTGATTGGCTAGATCTAATTCAGTCGATCACGTGAATTACTATCTAGAAGCTTCTCATGTAAATACTATAAAGAAACGAACGTTGTATCGATTTTCGCCTTCGCCTTCAACTTCGGCTTCTTATTTCCATTTAACCTTTGCTATTTGGAATATAATCTTTTCCTGTTCCACCGTATTTTTGATTCTTTGGAACTTGTCAGTGGCATTGTGTGGTCAGAGAATACACTAAGCAATAGGAATTAACCAGAAATTATTCAAGCAAGCGAAATAGGTGGGTAGAGCACTTTAAGGAACTCTTGATTCGACCAGCTCCACTGAACACACCCAACATCGAAGCAGAATCCACGGACCTCCAAATTAATACTGGCGCACCTACGATTGAGGAGATCAGTACGGCCATCAGACAAATCAAGAGCGGCAAAGCAGCAGGACCAGACAACATTCCAGCAGAGGCAATGAAAGCAGATGTAGAAGCAACTGCGAAAATATTTTACATCCTCTTCAACAAGATTTGGGATCAACAGGCCGGATTTCGTAAGGATCGATCGTGTACTGACCAAATTACTTACTTTTTACTTACTTACGCAACGTTACAAATCATTGTGGAACAATCAATGGAATGGAATTCACCATTCTACATCAACTTCATCGACTACGAGAAAGCATTCGATAGCTTAGATAGGAAAACACTGTGGAGGCTTCTTCGACACTACGGTGTGCCCGAAAAGAAAGTCAACATCTTACGAAATTCTTATGATGGATTCAGCTGCAAAATCGTACACGAAGGACAGCTAACAGACTCTCGAGGTCAAGACCGGTGTGAGGCAAGGTTGCTTACTCTCACCCTTTCTCTTTCTCATGGTCATCGACTGGATTATGAGGACGTCGACATCTGAAGGGAAGCACGGTATCCAATGGACAGCTAGGATGCAGATGGACGATCTGGACATCGCAGATGACCTGGCTCTTTTATCGCCCACGTAACAACAAATGCAAGAGAAGACGACCAGTGGTGTAGCTGCAGCCTCTGCAGCAGTAGGTCTCAACATGCATAAAGGGAAAAGCAAAATTCTCCGATGCAACACAACATGCACCAACCAAATCACTCTTCATGGAGATGCCCAGCAGGACGTTAACACCTTTACATATCTGGGCAGCATCATCGACAATCAAGGTGGATCCGATGCAAAGCAAGGGCTGCATTTCTACAATTGAAAAATATCTGCAACTCCAAACAACTTTCAACGAAAACCAAAATCAGGATTTTCAATACAAATATCAAGACAGTTCTACTGTATGGAGTGGAAACATGGAGAACTACCAAAGCCATCATCCATAAGATGCAAGTATTCATTGACAGTTGCCTACTCAAAATACTTCAGATTCGTTGGCCAGACATGATCAGCAACAACAAACTGTGAGAGAGAACAAATCAGATTCCAGTGGAGGAGGAAATCAGGCATAAGCGTTGGAAGTGGATAGGAAACACACTACGAAAAGCACCAAACTGTGCGTCGCAAGACAAGCCCTCACATGGAACCCTCAAGGCAAAAGGAAAAGAGGAAGGCCAAAGAATACATTGCACCGAGAAATAGAGAAAGATATGAGAGGAATGAACAAACATTGGACAGAATTGGAGAGGGAAGCCCAACGACAGGGTTGGTTGGAGAAAACTGGTTGGGGCGGCCTATGCTCTATTTGGGGGTAACAGGCGTAAGTAAAGTAAAGTAAGTAAGCAAGCGTTACAACAAAAACATGATTACCATTTATTGCCACAATACAATCGTCCATCATCAATCCAAACAGAAAATGAAGGAGTTGCATTGGAATTCGGATTATTATTATTCATGATTGAATGAATGCCAGCAGTAGTCCGTGTACCAGAACGTGTTGTTGTTGTTGTTGCGGCTGCGGTTGACAAATCACCACCACCACCATTGGAACTTGTGATAAATGATGAATTCGGTGAATCCAGTGTTGTAGCTGATGATGATGAAGAGGAGGCATTATTCATCATCATTGCTGTTGTTGTTGTTAAATTAGAATCTTTGGTCAATCTATTTAAATTATAATTCTCTTCATAGCATTTACCTAAAGAAGGACTTAATACTGGACTATTACAATGAAATTGATTTGGATTGGATGTATTGCTAGTACTATTCGATGTATTATTCGATGTATGTTTACGACTACCAATATTCATTGATGTTCCATTGGGAATAGTTGCAATTTTTGAACAAGCTCTATTTGTTTATTAAATGAATTAAAATTGTTTTATTTTTGTGTAAATACATTAGAAAATCAGAGATTCATCAGAGAAAAATAAAAATAAATCAATCAATCATTGTTAGACCACCATTAGAAACCTGGAAGTACTGAAAAACGACCGTTTCGTTCTGGTATATGACTACTCATCAGTAGCAGTGGCAGTGTGCATCCACGACTCCTCTTGCACCTCACGGGATTCGAACCGAAGACCTTCGGTATTGTGCGCGAACGCCTTGACAAAAAAAAATTAACAATCTTCACAACAACCCCGCAATGCAATTACATGTGTTCACTAGTGACTAGCTTGGTGAGGAATCTTCTCCGAGTTCTAGTGGTGGGAAGTCGTGACCAGTGAAGTTCAAACCTGTTCGGATGTATACAATGTATGATCAAGTTAGACATTAACACCGTTAGATACCGGCTCAGTGGTCTAACGGTTAGGGCGTCCACGCACAATACCGAAGGTCCTGAGTTCGAATCCTGCGGGGTGCAAGTGTCGTGGATGTGCACTGCCACTGATGAGTCCCATACCAGGACGAAACGGTCGTCATCCAGTGCTTCCAGGTTTCTAATGGTGGTCTAACATTGATCGATTCATGGTTACAAATAAAACTTAACAATCTTCACAACAACCCCGCAATGCATAAACTAAATTTTAATTTGATATACACTGAATACGAGTTAATAAAATATAAGCTTTATTTTATTACCTAGTAAATTAGAAGACTCGATTGACACTTGTCAACTTGCGTCACTAATGGCGCAGGCGAGATATCCGTCTGGTAAGCAAAGGACTAGTCTACTGAGCAGCAGCTAGCTCCTTCCCACTAATATTGGTGCGACAAATGGCCAATAAAAGTAGAGAACATCCGTAGGTTAATGGTTTTTGATCATAGGTGTCTCCGAAGTATTGCTCGTTTATCTTAGGACTATCGAGTAAACAATGCAGCTGTTAGGAAACGCGTATTAGGTAAGGATGGCAGATCAATAAATGAAGATTTGAAACTACAACAATTGAGGTGGTTGAGACTCTGACCAGGAAATCCGCTTGTCGACTTGGAATATGCCGACGAAATAATTCTATTTGGTGAAGACGCTGACAGAACTCAGTCTTCTGACTACCTTAAGAAACAATGCAAGCATGTCCAGGATGCGGCTTCCCCCTCGGAATGTAAAATGTTGCTTCAGGATTGGCTTGCATCGGCACCTGAACTAGTGATAGGGAGTGAAGTAGTCGAGCGTGTAGACCGCCTCACTTATCTTGGGAGTCTGATCAGTGCCGATGGCCTGGTGACTGACCAAATCTCGGCACGGATACAGAAGGCTCGATTGGCTTTCGCTAACTTATGTCATTTATGGCGGAGGCGAGATATCCGTTCGCTAACCAAAGGACGAGTGTACTACGCAGCAGTTCGGTCGGTCCTACTCTATAGGGGCGAAGCATGGCCGTTAAGAGTAGAAGATATTCGTAGGTATTCGATGCCCTAGTGCGAGCACGTATTTGTTTGAGGCTTGCTGGGCGTAGGAAAGACACCGTAAGGAAGCCTCCTAGTGCTTTACTTGATGATAATCAAGCTAAGAAAATATTTCAGGAGGAACTAGAAAAACAGTTAGGCGGCCATTTAAGCGATTCCCATCCGGAAGCAGGTTGGAATCATATCAAGAAGGCTGTGGAAACAGCAATGGTATCTGCTAGTAAGGTAAACCACAAGGCTAAGATGAAGCAGTGGATTTCAGTCGCATCCACCGAACTGATGGATGCTCGAAAACGCATCCCACCTGACTCTGAACATGATGAAGAGCGTAGTCAGCTTAGGCGCAGACTTATAAAAAGCCTACGTACCGACCGCGAACAGTGGTGGGTGGCGAAAGCAAAAGCGATGGAAAAGGCAGCGGCGATCGGCAACACTAGACACCTTTTCCGCCTTATTAAAGAAACCGGTATTAGGAACCCGAATGTAAGTGAGACTATCTCGGAAAAGGATGGTCTTATTATCCATTCTCAATCCAGGAGGCTGGACCAATGAGCAGAACACTTTAGCGATCAGTTCAACTGGCCTTCAGCCACACTTCGGTTGCCCACGATCGCCAGTCATCCTGAATCGCAAATCGATTTACGTCCTCCCAGTTTACATGAAGTTGAGAAAGCTATAGGAAATCTAAGGGGAGGTAGAGCGGCAGGTCCTGATAGGCTTACCCCTGATATGTTTAGGGATGGTTGTCCAGTTTTAACGGTTAGACTGACTGAGATCCTAGGTAGAATCTGGGAAATGGACGTAATCCCATCTGACTGGTCTCAGTCGCTAATTGTCCCAATCTACAAGAAAGGACAGAAGTCCTCTTGTGACAATCACAGAGGAATAAGTTTAACTAATATAGTTTCTAAATTGTTAGCCTCGATTATACTTCGACGTCTAACTAGAGCTCGTGAAGAGCAGATTCGAGAAAACCAGGCTGGTTTTCGACCTGGACGTGGTTGTATAGACCACATCTTCACATTACGACAGGTCCTGGAACACAGACACACACTTAGGCGTCCTACAATAGTTGTTTTCCTGGACCTTAAGGCGGCATTCGACTCAGTGGATCGTGAGGTTCTGTGGCAGTGTCTGTCATTAAAAGGTGTACCAAAGAAGTACATTAACCTTATACAAGCACTCTACTCAAACACCACTGGTCGGGTGAGAGCTTATGGCGAACTGTCACCGGAATTCTCTAATTCAAGTGGTGTCCGTCAGGGATGTCCACTTTCTCCATTCTTGTTCAACTTTGTCGTAGACATCCTCTTAGAGTTAACATTAAGCTCATCAGATTTTTCAGGGGTTGACCTTCTACCAGGAAAGTCGCTTACTGATCTAGAATATGCCGATGACATAGTTCTATTCGGTGAAGACGCTGACAAAATGCAGAGTCTTCTGACTACCCTAAGCAACAATGCAAGCATGTTCGGGATGCGGTTCTCACCCTCGAAATGCAAAATGTTGCTTCAAGATTGGGTGTCATCGACACCTGAACTAGTGATAGGGAGTGAAGTAGTCGAGCGTGTAGACCGCTTCACTTATCTTGGAAGTCTCATCAGTGCTGATGGCCTGGTGACTGACCAAATCTCGGCACGGATACAGAAGGCTCGATTGGCTTTTGCCAACCTGCGTCACTTATGGCGTAGGCGAGATATCCGTTTGCTGACTAAAGGAGGAGTGTACTGCGCAGCAGTTCGTTCCGTTCTCTTATATGGCTGTGAAACATGGCCAATGAGAGTAGAAGATACTCGTCGGTTATTGGTTTTCGATCATAGGTGTCTGAGAAGCATTGCTCGTATATCGTGGGACAGCCGAGTAAGCAATGCTGTCGTTAAGAAACGAGTACTAGGTAAGAATGGCAGTTCAATCAATGAAGTGGTGAAACTTCATCAGTTGAGGTGGTTGGGACATGTGTTACGTATGCCTAACCACCGACTGCCTCGACGAGCTATGTTTTGTGGTGTAGGAGTAGGTTGGAAGAAAGTTAGGGGCGGACAGACCAAAACATGGCACAAATCCATGAAGTCACTGACAAGTGGACTGAGTCATGTTGGTAGATGTAGACTACCAGGTTGGGGTCCGCGAGACGAAAGTCATGAATGGTTAGAGACCTTGAACGACATGGCTCAAAATCGTTTGCAATGGCGCAGGTGCATCCACTCTTTGAGCTCTCTCAAATCCTAATCTTCTGGATTCATCAGCACCTCTACCTTTGTCTTTCTAACCTTATCTCACTGAATTATATTTCTTGAATAATATCTTCGAACCCTAGTCTTCTTTATTAAAATTAATAC